GTTAATTAAACACACACATTTTGTTACGAGGAAAACAGTTTTTTTTTTTTTTTTTTGCAGTAGCCTAAATAAATCTTAAATATTAAAAATGCTTTTACATTACTGTATTTACAAATATAGCCTATGAATAGCCTAATATCAAACTACTATTAAGAAATTATATTAAAAAACTACTTATTTTTACATTTCAGGATGCCTTAAAACTGTAGTAAAAACACAGTTAACTCCCAAAACACTGTTAACTCATTTATGTGAATGCGTTAATGAAAAATCATAAACATTATCTCATTAAACTGTATTTAATTAGCTTTTTTTGTTTTTATAGAAAAACAAAAACCCACGGAAACCCTTGACGATACCCATCCCTATCTGTGATGCAGAAAGTTCGGAGACTGTTGTGCACACCATGGTTATATATAAAACTCACTTAAATGTGAAGTGGTCATAAACAAATATTTTCTCAATTTAAATAAGTAGTGGCTTGGATCCAGAAACAGTATTTCATACTGTACATCATGACTTGAGCGGATGGCGCATGTTTTTGAACTGTGGAGGACACCAGAGCACCCACGCAAACACGGGGAGAACATGCAAACTCCACACAGATATGCCAACTAACTCAGCCATGGCTTGAACCAGTGACCTTCTTGCTGTGAGGCGACAGTGTTAACCACTGAGCCACCGTGCTACCCTAGACTAATATTATGCTTTCATTTTAGATCAGTACAGTATTGTCTTTGGTTGGAACTGACCAAAGTGTATTTATGTGCTATAAATCTCCACAGTAGGCGTCACAGTGGCGCAGTGGGTAGCACGACTGCTGTGTTAGTTGGCATTTCTGTGTGGAGTTTGCATGTTCTCCCTGTGTTGACGTAGGTTTCCTCCTGGTGCTCCGGTTCCTCCACAAGTCCACACGTGTGGTATAGGTGAATTGGGCAAGCTATTTGCAACTGGAAGGCATCCGCTGTGTAAAACATATGCTGGATCAGTTGGTGGTTCATTCCACTGTGGTGACCCCAGATTAATAAAGGGACTAAGGAGAAAGGAAATGAATGAACAAAAAAGGCCACAGTATAATCATGTGGAAATTGTCAAATAATAAAAATCTTTAGCCTTGATTTTCTCATTATTTGGACATAACAAATGATACACATTTATCTCCCTATAACTTTCATTTCAGAGAGACACTTTGTGATCACAGGAAAACATCGCATTGTTTTTTTATGATGAGATAATCTGAAAATAATGACAAAGCTTAAATGCATGGCCACATAAAGCGTCTGACATACTGTATGATGAAAATAACATCACAGTGTGTGCAAATGTAATGCTTTATTTATAAGCTACCATTCAAAATGCAATGAGTATGATTTTCTTTTCAATATATTTATTGATTTGTTCATCAAGGATGACCCAACGTGACACTAAAGACATGTTTAAATGAGAAATGATGTCTGTTCATTTATTTAAGCATAAAAGAAAGTATTTAATTAATGTTGAGTAATAAATGAGAATACATTAAATTGCTTTCCAAAGGATCATGAGACACTGGAGACTATAGAGACATGAAATAAATCTAACTATAAACTCATTTTAAATTAGTTTTTCTGGAAAAAGGTGCTCATTTAAGCCTAACTAAAACATAAAAAAGCATTAAACATTTCTAAAAAGACAAACGGTTAACAAAGATGCATGCAATATACTTTATTAGAGCTATAAAAAAGAACTCCAAAGCAACACTTGGGCTGTATATTCTCACACACACAAAGCTTGGTTTGGAAGAATATCTCTTAGGAAAGTCTAGCTTTTTAACTATATCAAGCTTTAAAGATGTATTTTTAATTGCATAATCTATCCAATCATGTCAAAATCTCATTGGGCAAAGGCAGAATAAGATAATGTATGAAGTGTGCTCTATCCGGTTTCCACCATCTACTGTCAAAGCAACCCCAAACAACTGCAAAGAGTGACATATGGGCCATATCTCCACCAGTGTTATCGCTGTTGCTAGAGCGAGTGTGGCCTGATATACTGCGGGTTTGGCTCTCCCATCACCTGAGCGTGGAGAAATGATAGCTAGTGAACACACGACTATTCATTATCTGGAGAGACAGGCATCAGGCAGCAGAGCATCATCTATTCACACGTTTCTGTCTGGACATGCTGTAGATTTGCGAGCGGAGAATATATATATACACAGTTGCTCCCTGCAGAGCTGCATATCTCACAGAAGGGGAGAAAAAAGTATTAGAAACAGCACAAGGACACTGTTCGGCGACAAAGTGACTGTTTCTGATGACGCATGCTTATTCATGACTTTTTTAAAAGCCTGTCTACTGCATTTCAAAGCCTGTCTACCAGATATCAGAACAATGACATCCCTGAAAGTCGGTCAAAGTTTAGCAACATGCATCTAAATACTTCAACTGATATGATTCATTCAGGTCAAGAGGAGGAATAAAATAATAATTTTTTCTTTATAAAAATGTGATTTTTTTTCAACTAAAGCTGTCACAAATGACACTTAAACTGCAGTATTGAAGATAGAAATGTGCAATCTGTTTGCAAGCATCACAGTGGCGCATTTAAAGGGCACCTATGAAGAAAATCAACTTTTGTAAGCTGTTCAAACAGAACTGTGTGTAGATATACTGTGTTCACTGTCATTTTGGAGTGATAGAAAAACAATAAGTCTCTTTTTTTAAATTGTATGACATTACATTAGGATCAAAATCCCAGTAATGTACTGTACTCTTGCAGAGTGAGTAAAAGGGCTCGCAAAATCACTCTGGACGAATCGCACCCATCACACTACCTGTTCGAACTGTTACCGTCTGGTCGGCGCTTCAGAGCACCAAGCACAAAAACAGCGAGACACAGGAAAACTTTCTTTTCTCAGGCCATCTACCTCATGAACAGTTATATATCGCCCAACTGTGCAATAAATATGTGCAATACCTTCTCATACGCACTTGTACACAGCACCTTATATCAATATACAATGCAATACTTCCTACATTCGCATTTGTACACAGCACCGTATAACCTGTATATTTATAACAAATCTGTACATACTGTACAACTCAACATCCAGATTTCTTGACTAACTGCATCTCTGTTTAATGTTTATCATCTTTTTTTTTCTCATATTTATGTTGTGTTGTCACTTGTCACTTTATGTACACTGGAAGCTTCTGTAGCCAAAACAAATTTCTTGTGTGTGTGAAGCACACTTGGCAATAAAACTGATTCTGATACATGATGCACTGTAGAAGTGTGGTTTGCCCCTCCCACGGAATTGATTGACAGGCACAATGTTTCTATAATAACATGTATACAGATGTCCACAGAACATTTTTTTCCAACTCTGTGATTTTTAAGTTTTTAAAGTTTACATTTTTTTAAAAACAGAGCATGTTTGTAATAAAGAGAGCAAAATCGCTATATAATTCTTAACCACTATAATCACCATGGCTGTTGTGTCAGTAAACGCGCCTCTGTGTTTGTGTGTACTGCAAACAGCATTTGTGTGTGAGCCATCATTTTCAGAAAGGCTTGATTAAACTTCACCACAAATACATGAATTAAACTTGGTATTTTTGTCTCTATCACTGACTGCTATGGGTGGATCAATCCTGAAGTAACGATATTTTCTATACTGCGAATGCATCAAAAGGATATATATATATATATATATATATATATATATATATATATATATATATATATATATATATATATATATATATATTATTTTTTTTTAAATGCCTGTAAAACAGCTTTGAGAATATATATTATATTTCTTACATGACTCACAAAGAGCATCAGCTATTACAAGAAGCATAGGAGAGATTTTACTATTTTATTTAATTTTTTTTGTATTATTTTTCATTACATATGGTGCTATTTAGCCAATTATAGATCTGTAATTTTAATAAATGTAAAAAGGAATCATGTGTCTTGAGTCTTATTTAATATTAATAATAATAATAAAGGTGATAATCATAAAAAAATCACTATAAAATGTTTATTTAGCCTAAGTATAGGTATTGGTATCGATAACAGTATCGATGATACTTGTCTTAAAATACTTGATATCAGATCGGAAACAAAAATATTGGTATCGCCCATCCCTACTGACTGCAGTTTATCTGATGTAATGCAGGAGAAGCGGACACGCATGTGGGAACACTGGGCGGCGAGAAGCAGCTCATTTGCATTTAAAGCCGCAGGCTACAAAAACAGCTACACTGTACTCAAACACCAAAATGGGCATATTCTGGAGGCTATAATAAATGATCTGATGGGTATTTTGAACTAAAACTATTCAGACACAATCTGAAGACACAAAAGGCTTATCTTACAGCTTGTAAAAGGGGTAAAAGAAGTGTCCTTTAAATATAATCATGGGAATCACAAACACATTTCAGTAACATACAGTATACTGTACATACACTTCTGTTTTTAATACCAGTGTATCGCTATAAAGTCTGCCTGGCATATAAATACTCCAAAAAATCAAACTATTTTAAACGGAACTAAAGGCATTTCAGAATGTTTGAGATTTTCAGACATTAAATTTGAAAGTGTTTTTATGGCATAGTTTTCAAAATTTCACATTTACATTGTAAAAAGTTCTAATAGAGAACACTTTAAGATTGATATGTCTATATGGAAGAATAAAAAGCATAATCACTTATGAGAAAAATCTTTTTAGCTCACCATTTAATTTGGCTGTAATATTAAGTCACTGGTCTTACAAGGTTTTATACTAGAAGCCAACATTTAAAAAAAATCAGATTTAATCAGATTTACACATTCATATACCGCTTGGATGTAAATTGATTATTTAATCACGTACAGATTTACAATAGTGAATGAATCCCAACACATTATTGTCCTACATTTTCAGTAATCTCTCTTATTTTTCATGTTGTATCACAACATGATCAAACTTAAGGCACTTAGATTAGAGAAATACACCACATTTATGGTTTTACCTGTTGTAAATGTCATCATCTTCACCTCCCCATCCCCAGTACTCATTAGGGAAGCCATTGATTTTGAGGAATTGTTTTTTGCTAAGGCCGGACACCCCTCCAAAATAACCTGCATAGGGCAATCTGCAAGAAGAAAAACAGACTTCAGTCATTTTACACAGCTGATATACATTTCAGCATCAATGGATCAAGATTTACTAAAAGGGCTTTTTAGCATGAAATTGCAATCACAAAAAGCACCGCTGGCTGTGGAAAATTCATTGAAAATAAAGCACACAGTCACAAAGGTGTTTTTCCTTATCTTGCAATCCAAAACTTTTGTAAGAAAAATTCTGTTTAATGAACTCCTCCACCTACAGCAAATGTAAAGGGATCGTTCAACCAAAGATCCAAATTCACACACTATTTACTCACCCTCAAGTGGTTTCAAACCTTTATTTTTTTATTCTGTTGAACATAAAGACATTTTGAAGAAAATGAAAACCGGTAACCATTGACTTCCTAAGTTAGAAAAACAAATACAATGGAAGTCAATGGTAACCAGTGTAAAGTTTTCTAAAAAAATACCCTTTCTTCTGTGTGTGTGCATTCAACAAAATAAAGAAAGTCAAACAGGTTTGGAACAAGAGACTTTTCATTTTTTTCAAACTAACCTTTTAAGCACAAAACAGGGCTTTAAACATGATGCAAAACTTGATTAATGCAAACTTTAATAAAATCACATTGCACTTCATTCATTGAAACATTCTCCTTCCTTCGCATCTTGTTCATTTAATTCGTAATTTAATCTACCCTTTGAATGTCAAAACATGACAAATAATAGTCAACCAGATAAACCTTTCACAATCAGATGTACTAACAGATTCTAAAACTTGTATTTAGTAAACTTAAAATATTTTCTTTAACAAAATATCTTAACAGAGAATTTAATGAGTGATACTGAATTAATAGATCTGTTGTGAAAAAAAAAATCCTTCGAGAACGCGATTCTACATTGATTCTGAGATTTTTAAATTGCATAGTTATTCTTAAATTGATTGTGAGCTTATTTTTTAACAGCAGATGGCACTCTTGGCTAGTTTTCAACCCAACACTAAAATGCTTATGAGGAAGAATACTGTTTTTGGCTGCTGAATTACGCAAATTGACTTTTATGTTACAAGATTAATATAAACACACAGCTCACTATGAACACTCTTGTAATTCATTTAAGCCTTTCCTAACTTCATTAATGCTTTTTTTTTTAAAGTTTTTGTTGGTATTTATAAAGAATTGGATGCAAGCAGATAATGGCTGTTTGTAAAGCATACAGCACCATCTGCATTTAAAAAAAACAAAATCCCAAATTGATTGAGTAGTGTGAAGCTGCAGGCCAGGAGAACCAACTGCATGCTCAGACCTGCATGCGCACACCAGCACTTTCAGACCTATCATTTTCTCAGACAGTGCCACCTGCTTTTGGGTCGGGTGAAGTGGCAGGTCCAGAGCCCCAACTGCAGAAACAGTCCTCTCTCCAGCCTGCAGCTTCAGATCCACTACGTAATGGACGATTGTCTACTGTACACCTCTTCCTACCCTAAACCCTACCATTACAGTAGCATGGGCTTTACCTTAGTGGCCGGTACAATGTCCACTATAGTGGACCTGGTCCAGTACGTCATTATGGTTAAAGACTGCAGCGAGAACATCTTGCAACAGCACACTCAGACAAGCACTTTCTAAAGTCGCAACATCGGACACGTGACCATAACCTTAACGATAAGTCTAAAGGTGCTTGGTCTGAGCGTGCAGTTGGGTCTCCAGGCATGCAGTTTCATGATATCAAATTGATTGAAGAAAAAATTGTGATGCATTTGGAATATCTTAGATGCAATTTCTTGAGCAATAATTCACCATAGCTCGATTAATTCTCTAAAAGAAACAGTTTTTGATTCTCTGACTTTGAGGACACAATACAAATGTAAATATATGTTTAGTGAAACAATTACATGGATATAATTTTTGTATTTAAATTTGCTAATTTTATTTTTTTTAAATAATAATTTATATTGTACAAAAGCACAAACCTGAATACATCAAGGGAACTATACATCATGAGAATTATTAATACAGTTTTAATTGCCCATTAAACTGTAGGCTTCCGCCAGTATCAGATGTTCTTGTAGTGATTAATTGATAAAGTTTGCGTCACAGTAAATGGTATTATCACGATATTCACCCAAGCTGCAAAAAAAAAAAAAAAAATATATATATATATATATATATATATATATATATATATATATATATATATATATATATATATATATATATATATATATATAAATAAATTAAAAAAAATACAGTCAAGCCCAAAATTATTCATAAAATTCGTAAAATTCTAGCAAATCTTTGTTCAAATGTAAATGAATTATTGAATTCCGGCATACGTCTACCACCCATGCAGCCCTTTTGGGAATATAGGGCTAAAGGGGATCGATTTGAGTTTTGATTTAAGTCTACAGTAAAACATCATTTCTCCAGGTTGACTCTTCTGAACTGAGCCCTTTAGTCAGCCAGCTGAAGCATTCCAATTTGACAAAACTGCATCTCGTATGAGTGATTCTATGATCCACAGAGTCCTCCCACAGGGGCTTCAACATCTTCAATGATATCTGATCCTTCTCCAAAAACACTCTTTCATCAATTCTCTGCTTTCTTGCCACCCCTCAGGCCCCTCGGTTGAGCTACACAACTCTAAGGACGTCCTGTAAAAGCTTCCGTTCGCAATAAAGCAAAGAATTTGTTTCCGCTTGTAGGAATGCGAGAGGCCACGGTTAAAAGAGAATCCTTTGAGGAATCATCGGCTACAAGATTAAAGGCTGATATAAATATAAATACTCCATTGTGGGTTAAAGGACGAATTAAAAGGTCCCAGTGGTTCTCTTATTTTTGACCTTTAAACCACAGAATGATTATACTTCAGGCTAGCGTTGGAAAGCTTTAAAATCCTCTACTGGATGAATACAGTCTGGAAAAGCACTGAGTCCACTCATAGCACTCGACAACATGGTCTCTGCGCCTCCTGTTTTGAAATAAAACAAACAAAAAAGGATTTTATCATGGTATATGATAATATCACAACATAGACCTATAAGCTTCAGGTCTATGGGACATTTGGGACAGTATGGAAAACGCAAATAAAAAAATTAAAGTAGTGATTTATACGTTATCTTCCAATTATGCGTAGCATTGGAAGGCTGAATGAAAACATTCTGGAGTACACTCATACCGCTTGACAACATGGTCTCCATGTCTCGTCTTTTAAGAGACCCGCTGGGCTAAAGGGCTGGCAGGTGCATCATGGGTAGGTGCCCGGGGTTTGCCTTGGGCTACTGTGCTAGCAGTAAGTGTGTGTTGCAATGACTATGTGTTGCCAAATGACAGCCACCACATCCACCTACGCAAACAAATGTGTGACATAAGGGAGAATACGAAGCAGGAACCTACACGCGCACTCACACACAAACAAGCTTATGTGCGCTGCAACCTCACGTTAAAAGACAACAAGCTAAAATTAATGAGACCATCTGCTAGAGCAGCAGTGTTCACAGAAACAGCATGGCTGAAGTTTTCTTCACATGCTCGCGGTCTGAGAGCGAGTAATTCTCTGAACGTACTCCGTTTATTGAATGCAGCGATGTGAAGGCCTCCTCAGTCCAATGGTGTGACTCACTCACAGAGGAAATGGAATTATTATCCCACTGACAGTTAAAGGCAGTTCAGCCGCCGGGAGAAGGCATTTGTTTTAGAAACGTATTGTCTGGCTGTCCACAGAGAAACAAAAACTGAATTCAATAATGGTTCAGATTTCGCCAAGTATTAAGGTACTGTGGTTTTGTAAACCGTTGCTCTAGCGTTAAGTATCAGACTAAAAAACCGAGCTAATGAGATGTAGGGGGAAAATATGCAGGAAACTGTTGTGTAGTTTTTCTTATTAGTGACCATTAGGGCAGTCAATGAACATGTTGTTTATATTGGTATGCAAATGTAATATGCAGTCCAACAGGTAATAAAAATAATAACAGTAATAATAATAATAAACATTAATTTATTCATCCATTTTCTTTTCAGCTTAGTCCCTTATTATTCTGGGGACGCAACAGTGGAATGAACCACCAACTTATCCAGCATATGTTTTACGCAGCGGATCCCCTTCCAGCTGCAACCCCTCACTAGGAAACATCCATACACACTCATTCACACATCCACTACGGCCAATTTAGTTTACCCAACTCACCTATAGCGCATGTCTTTGGACTGTGAGGAAAACCGGAGCACCCGGAGGAAACCCACAAAAACACAGGGTGAACTGACCCAGCTGAGGCTCGAACCAGCAACCTTCTTGCTGTGAGGCAAATGTGCTACCCACTGCGCCACAGCATCGCTAATAGTAATATCACAGTTTTTCTCAGTGGCTTTGGTGCATTTTATACAACACTATTTACATTTGCACAACAGTTAATGCATTTATCAAAAAAATTCGTACAAACTGCAAAACCTAGTTTAAAACCTGCAAAAGCGTGTCACATGCTCAAAATGGATAGCCCATTCCTCAAGAGCAAGTATTCATGTCAATGAAAGTGTCAGTATCATTAAGATGAAAAGTCCTTACACCATTGTTCATGAACAAGATTATCAAATAGCTTTGTCATATTTTCATAATGACAGTTTAGTCCAGGGGTGTCCAAACTCGGTCCTGGAGGGACGGTGTCCTGCAGATTTTAGCTCCAACTTGCCTCAACACACCAGCAAAGATGTTTCTAGAGGGCCTAGTAAGAGCTTGATTAGCTAGCCAAGGTGTGTCTGATTGGGGTTGTAACTAAACTTTGCCGGACACTGGCCCTTCAAGACAGAGTTTGGACATGCCTGATTTACTCTGTACATTTTTTCCAATGCAAAAAAGTCCGATTTTGGTGACACTTCCTGAAAATACTCAAGACAGCACTAGATACTAGTTGCACAGCCATTTGAAAACTACAGTAAAGAGAGACATCACTGCATTTAGTGAGGCATCTGAGTACAAGACACTGAATATGTTTCAAATTTTTACTGCATTTGTTCTTTGCAATTCTAATTTAATCACAGCATTGTGCAAAAGAATAAATACACACTTATTTACAACAAACATAAACTTCCTTTGGGTAGAGCTGTGCACAACTGTAAACAATACTGCAGTATATACATATTGAACATATTGTACATATTGAAACTGAACCTACAACATACATAGGTCTGTAAATCATTCATGAAATAGTTCAATTTAGAAGACATTTTCAGGAGAAAAAAAGATAGACTGACAGACAGACAGACAAATAAATAAATAAATAAATAAATAAATAAATAAATAAATAAATAAATAAATAAATAAATAAATAAATATCAGCAATAAACAACAGGGGTGTAACAATACAACATTCATATTGAACCGTTCAGAACAAGGATTTTGGTAGGGGTAAACATTACAAAATGAACAACTTGTATTGGTTATTTAGAAAACAGTCCTTGGCAATTTAGTTGTAATGGTATATCATAATACATTGTATGGGTCAAACTTATAGATTTTTCTTTTTTGCCAAAAATAATTAAGTATTAAGTCAAGGTCATGTTCTACAAAAATACTTCCTACAATAAATGTAATTCATTAAACAACAAAACATCAATAAAAACAAAAATGATGATAATAATAATAATAATAAAAATAATAATAAATGCATAAATAAACAGACAGAGAGAAAGACAGAGAGACAGACAGACAGACAGACAGACAGACAGACAGACAGACAGACAGACAGACAGACAGACAGACAGACAGTTGATGGATGGATAGATGGATGGATGGACGGACGGACGGACGGACGGACGGACGGACGGACGGACGGACGGACAGACAGACAAATATAGATAGATAGATAGATAGATAGATAGATAGATAGATAGATAGATAGATAGATAGATAGATAGATAGATAGATAGATAGATAGATAGATTTTGATGGTTACATTGTAAATATATATTTTTTAAATAATTGGTTGTGAAGTTACTTCCTACAAGCGCTCACTTGTCAAGACAGAAGCTGATTTGAACCAGTGAATTCCCTGAAGTTGGCTGAGGAAAGCACAGAGTTAAGATTGTCTTGGCCCTTTCGGCCCCTCACACAAAGACAGGAAATTAAACACCACGGAGCAAAGGCCAACCCGTCTGCTTGCCGACACAAGACAGACAAAATTCATTTCAAGATTGACCAAAAAAAAACGTAATACATAGAAGCTTCACCAGTGTTTTAATATCACCAGCTATTACACTTGAAGAGCACCGGCTTGCCTCAGCTAAATAATTGTCTGCCTTGAAAAATGAATGCATATTAATACATATTCTTGTCAAAGCTCCAGGTCTGTCTAGACTGGCACCACACCTAACAAATGAACTGTTGATACATAATAATTCAACTGCATTCTGGAGCTCAAGACGACAGAGACACATATATCTTCCCTAGTGGATAAAAGCAATTAATCACCAGAAGCACAGGCTTTGACAGACAGCCCTCAAGCTCAGGCTGTTTGATTAACTCACAAAGCTCTGTGCTAAAAAAAACAAAACAAAGAAAAATACAAACGTTCCATCTATTAATATGTATGTAAATAGCTACAAATGCAGTTCAGCAAATTTGTATTAAACCCTGGCAAAAACCAAAATTCACTAAGGATATTAAATTCATATTAAACCTGCCGCTGATTTTATATTGCTCGATTTTCAGACTTTATATTAAGGTTCATGCAATATGTATGAAAAGAAACTAGGATTATAAAGATGAGATGAAGTGCTGTATCAAATATAATGTTTCAACAGATTCTTGCACTTTGAGGTTGGCTCAGTATTAAATATGTTACCTGAAGCCAAATTTGTCCATGGCAATGGCAAAGTGACGGGGCTGGTCGTAACAGTGGTAGAGGTTTCTGTCATCCATAGGGATCAGGTCCACGTCACTGAAAATGAAGCAGTTGTATTCTGCGTCTTTAATAGCCTCTGTGTAGCCAACATTCAGCAGCTTGGCCCGATTAAAGGTGTCCTCACCCAGCTGAAACAAAGCACAATAAGGCAAGCGATTAAAAAAAATCTAAATATACTTATTAATAACTCCACCAGTTTGGTTAAATATTTAATAACTTAACCAGTTGGGTTAAAAAATTAGATTTTAAGTCAACCCAGAACAGCTGCGTTATTACACTCAAGAAAATTAATAAAAAAAAACATTGAGTTATTTATTTAACTCAATGGTTGAGTTGAAAATATTTGGTGCTATTTTGGATGTTATTTCAACCTTTATTGGGTTAGTAATTAATAACTCAACCAGTTGGGTTTAAAATGTAGAATTTCAACAGTCAACTCATTTAACTGACACAGAACAGCTGTAATAATGTAATGCATGTAATGTTGTTTTTGTGTTGTAAAGTTTATTTATTAATTTATTTTCTTTTCGACTTAGTCCCTTAATTAATCCAGGGTTGCCACAGCGGAATGAACCGACAACTTATCCAGCACATTTTTTACACAGTGGATGCCCTTCCAGTCGCAACCCATCTCTGGGAAACATCCACACACACTCATTCACACACACACACACACACACACACACACACACACACACACACACACACACACACACACACACACACACACACACACACACACACACACACACACACACACACACACACACACACACACTCATATACTACGGACAGCTTAGCCTACCCAATTCACCTGTACAGCATGTCTTTGGTTTTTGAAACTTAAAATGTGGTGAAAATAAAGCATTTTCAATATTTTTTTAAACTGAAAATTGTTTATTGACAATTATAACAATTCTAAAATTAATAGTAGTACTAGTAATAGTAGCAATAGTAATACCAGAATGGAAAAAATATATATATTTAATCAAAATAAATATGTTGATATATTTTTAACTCAACTATTTTAACTATGTTAAAAACAAGGAATTAGCACCATGAATATGTTACACAATATATAATAAATAGGAGTGTAACAATAAGTGCATTCATATTGAACCGTTCAGTACAAGGATTTTGGTTTGGGTACACATTGCAAAACTACTGTATTTGTCTCTGTTATTTAGAAAATAAGTTCCTTGGACCACAAAAATAAAAGTTGCATTGGTATATTATTATTCGCTGTATGGGTCATATTATAGACTTTTCTTTTATGCCAAAAGTAAGTATGAAGCAAAAATCATGTTCTACAGAGATACTTTATAAATATAAAAGTAATTTATGGTTTAATAATGTGCATTGCTGAGCACTTCGTTTAAGCAACTTTAAAGGTGAATTTCTTAATATTTACATCTTTTTTACGTCAGATTCCACAATTTCATATAGTTTTATCTTGGTTAAATATCATCCTATAAAACATCAATAAAAGGCTTATTCAGCTTTCAGATGATATATAAATCTCATTTTCAAAAATTCACCCGTATGGCTTTATGGTCTAGGATCACAAATATTTTAAAACTGCTAAAACAGCCTAAAGTGTGTGAAGTAAAATGTTTTCAGTGCCACTATGCTCAGAAAGGCAGCGCAGACAATCTACTGCACTGTAACAGGCAATGAAAAGTTTTATTATGAAAAGTAATAAAACAAACGCCAATCAGGCATATGCTGGAATTGCTCAGTGCAATATGGATAGTAACATAAGTATGATTACCAAAACATAAGAATATCCTAAGGACACAACCAACAAGTGTTTTTGAGCAGTTGAAAACACCTGCAATCATCCAAAAACTTTCAGCTGTGAGCATCTGAGAGCGCTTCTGCAACTCTGCATTTAACTTACTCTCCAAGTGTTGGTCCATTTAAAAAAATACTCTGAGATTGAATCTAAATGAAGCGCCTCAGCGCCTCTTAACACTGCTTTCACTGGAATTATTCACTGTTAACTTTTAATTGTGCCCTGGTACACCATTCCTTCATTTCAGCCAGAATAAAAGTGTATTTCAGCCAGACTGTAGCTGTGCCTGAACCTCTGTCCTTCTGAGGGCATTTTCCACTGCAGGTGAAATCAAGCAGATCCGTGCTGTCCACAGAAAATATGAACACTAAACCAGTTCCAAATTTAAAACAAAATGTTTATATACATTTTTCACAACAAGCTGTTTATGTTGTTTATATGCTTCTAAAGACACCCCAAGTCACCCCAAAGGTCAAGTCAGATGTTAGGTACATGTACTGAACCCTGACTTTTCTGTACCGTTGCACCCCTAATATTGAATATATGACACACAATTTTCTTTGAAATATGTTGCCATTATTTCTAAACGATTTTAAAGAGTCTGTAGGATTGTTTGTCAAGATTTCCTTTAGTGTGAAATGTATCTGTTTGCACATGATACTGGCAAAGTTACAAAGCTTATTGGCTCCCAGAAAATAAATTCAACACCGCCACATTTCCATATGGCTTAATGTGTACGGGCCAATCATACTGTAATGCACTGGGTCAGCTGACAGCACTCTAGTATTTTCAGGTGGAAGGTTTTCGTAGAAAACATAACTCAATCAGAGTGCTGTTCATTTTTTGCTGTTCAAACACAAGCAGATGACACTGAATATACAGTAGGTGTAAACAAGATTTAAATCATGTTGAGCTTCAAGAGGTAGTCAAAACTCATTTGACTGGATTGCTTTCATAGTGTACACACATGTGGTTGAATGTGTTTGAACAGTCACAACAGACCACCTACTTTCTGTCTACTAACTAAATTTTTTTTATTTATCTTTCATTTATATCCATTATTAATAGCCTATTTAAGTGTTAAGGTAGGCTACAGTCTACTTTTTCAATGCATGATTGACCACTTCTTCAAATACACAGAATATACTTATCTTATTTGTGTTAAATTCGATGGAATAAACATGGACATGGACATTTTTCAAAAAATAGCCAATTTATTTAATTTAAAAAATATGCTTTATTTCTTTTCAGCTTAGTCCCTTTATCAATCCAGGGTCACCACAGCGGAATAAACCACCAACTTATCCAGCATATGTTTTACACAGTGGATGCCGATGCAACCCATCACTGGGAAACATCCATTCACATTCATTCACACATACACTACAGACAATTTAGCTTACCCAATTCACCTGTACCACATGTCTTTGTCCTTGTGGGGGAAACCGGAGCACCCAGAGGAAACCCACACCAACACGGAGAGAACAAGCAAACTCCACACAGAAATGCCAACTGACTCAGCCGAGGCTTCAACCAGCAACATTCTTGCTGTGAGGCAAACGTGCTACCCACTGTGCCACCATGCTGCCCCTATTAAATTCTTTTTTATTTATTTATTTAAACTATTTTCAGTTAAATTACAACTTGTATTTTATCATTTGTTTTGGCTTTAACAGTTTATTGATAAATAGCCCATTTAAAGAACATTTCACTGAGCTCTGCAAAAAGATTTGTATGTAGGCCTACAGTACATTCAAAAATGTAATATTAGAGCCATATACAAGAGAAGCATCTAAATTCATCTTAAGACCAGTTGGAAATGGGAATGCTTCTTCTCGTGCACTTGAAATAAGATCAATGGTAACTCCAAGAGAAAATAGAGCAAGTCTGACTGGGGACAGCATGTTTTTGAACATTAAAAAAAAATTACTTTTATAGTACACTCAAAATAACGATCTTTTAAAATAGCATCATTTGTCATCTTTAAGATTACCCAAAGAAAACTCTAATTTGGTGAGATGGAAATCTATATTTAGACTGCTATTCTGTGTAACACCACAACACCATGTGGTGTCTGAACTAATAATCCAGTGTGACAATAATCCCATGTAATCCTGTAATACCTGAGATATGACCCAATAATCCAAAGGTATGAACTACTGACACAAATCTACTGCTTTCAGCATAATGCTAATTGATCTGCATTACAAAGCATTAGCAAAATTATTAAAGATTGCATATTATGCAAGGCATTGCAGTTCCCCTTCGGGGGGAACTTCAGCACTATAAGTGGATTTGATTTGTAAAATCCACGCATAGGGAGGTTCGGTTCAGAAGCTACTCGTCTGAAAGAGTATTGAACGGGCCAATTAAGAATGAATTGGCAGCGCAAGCCTGCGCAGGTGAGCGGCATAAGCAATCAACTGAGTATATAAGCTCACCTGGCGCCAGCAGACGCTATCCTTTTCGCTTCAGAGACTTTCTGATCGAGTCGATGAGGGTTCCTCCTGCTGTGACCAGCGATTCTGAGCGAACGAGAGCATTCTCCCGGTCCAGAGTGTGTACACGCAGCGGCAGACGGTCGAGCTGGGTTTCTCCCTTGCCTGGCGTTCTTTGGGTCCGGTCCTCCAGAGCGGTGCGTATAAAGTTGCAAACTTCACAGAAAGAGCAACACAGTCGTGCAGCACGTCCTTATCAGGACGGCGCTCCGACTGTGCGTTTCTGGATGCGGTGGTTTCCTGTCCTCGGATGATGGGCGCGGGCACTGCGTTGCATGTCTGGGGGTCCAGCATGTTAATGCGCTGCTCGCGGGCAGTTCATGTCGTCATTGCGATGCCATGACTGTTGCGCAAGATCGCGGTTAGCCTTTGCAAAAGGGCGAACCACCCCAGTTGTCCCCTGCTCTGCAGCGGGCACTCGGGCAGATCTGAGGGTTTCAGCGAGAGATAATCCGTCGCCCACGGGCCCGCGGACCTCCCGCTCCTCTAAGCGCTCCATCCAAGCTTCGGGCGGGGGAAGCGATCCGTCTAACAGATGGTAGCCCTTACGCCCGATGACACCGGAGACCAGATGTCCACCGCGGCATCGGAGGGTGGGCTTTCATTGTCCGATGATGATCCAGACCCGCTCGCCCCCTTCGGGCTGGTGAGCGCTGTCACTACGGATCCTGAAACGGACATGTTAGCCGTGCTTTCCCGGGCTGCTTCGGCCGTGGGTTGGAGATGGTTTATCCCCCAGCTCCGCGGCCGGACCGACTAGAGGGGCGTTCCCTTCTTCCCGGAGGTGCACAGTAGGCTCACGCGGTCTTGTAAAGCACTTTTTTCTGCTCGTGCT